ATCGAGCACAGGCAATTCAGCTCTTTAGTTCCTGTGGTACAATTGAAGACTTGTAATTATCGTTCTCTGATTAATTTGACAAAACTCTGTGATGTCTACAACTAGCAAGGCAGAGTGTTATGCAAAGATCTCGACGTACAAGGAACTAGCAAGATGGAAATTTAGTTTTAAGATTCTAGACCTTCCCGGTCCAATCAAGCTTTTACACAATGCAGGGATGCGAGTTGGATGAAAGAATTATATATAGATACCATTTTCGAGGCCGTTATCGATCATGAATCTAGGCAAATCAAAATTTTCGTGATTAAAATAAATGACCGTGTCGCGGCCAATGTGTTGATTTGACGCCTCAAAAATTAGAAAAACAACTGGATTTGCTTGTTGTCGAAAATTTTCTGGACCGACATATTCCTTGAGCACCTATAAAAACGATTTCTAAAAGCTGTAATTATATGTTTATTAATTTTGCGCTGCCCTCTAATCACCGACAGTGTACACCACGAAAAAGAGCTGAGCTGGTCATGTGGCAAGAATGAGAGACAGTGGATGGACAAAGCGGATTATTGGCTGGTACCCATGCAAGTTCAAAGCACATAGGGAATACCACTAGTGCAGTGGAGCGATTCGTTTAATCGGATGTGTGAAGTTAGATAGATGCGAGCAGCATTATCTCGAAAGTAATAATATCTCTGGAAACTTCCGGCTGAAATATACAATGAGCGTTGAGTTTTAACTTTTATATTGATAGTTTTTCAGCTTTTAGTTTATATGGAAAAATGATGTTTTGTGTTCTCTAGTCTTAATTATTAAATATTTTGTCACTGGATATGTCGGGCAGGATGGAGCAATTTCTGCTCGTAATGGAAAAATTCGCTTTTAGGAAAAATTGTGGAATAAGCCTACAGTCAAATTCGTTCTAATTCCTTTTTTATGCGTTTTTATGCGTTTTTTGCAGTTATGCAATGCAAAAAACGCATATTGACGAGAGGTTGTCTGTGTGTTCGTGTGTCTGTGTGCCTGTGTGTGCGTCTGTCACGCACTTTCATCTCCGGACCTATAAAAGCTGCGATGTGTCTGTGTGTGCGCTGGGCCTCTGTATCGGTTTTTCATCTCGAGACCGGCAAAAGCTACGGAGCTGAAACTTTGGGGACTTGTGCGTGTGTGTGTGCGCTGCGCGTCTGTACCGATTTTTATGCGTTTTGTGCTGTGTAACAGCCGCGTTTTTTGCAGCTATGCAATGCAGAAAACGCATATTGACGAGAGGTTGTCTGTGTGTGTGTGTGTCTGTGTGTCTGTGTGCCTGTGTGTCTGTGTGTCTGTGTGTCTGTGCGTCTGTGTGTCTGTGTGTCTGTGTGTCTGTGTGTTC